TATTTTCTTGAACATTTTTGTGTCTATGTTTATAATAGGTATTGATCTATAGGTTTTCTTTCTTGAAATGTCTTTATCTAGTTTTAATGTAAGTGTTATACCGGCCTCCATATAATGAATTAGAAAGTGCTGTCTTGCTTCTATTTTCTGAAAGAGATTGTAGAGTATTGTTGTCATCTCATTTTTAAAATGCTCCTAGAGTGAACCAATGAAAATATCCCAATCCTTTCTTTATTGAAAGGTTATATATTATTGTTTCAATTTATCTAGTAGGTATATGGATATTCTGATTGTCAGTTTATACTTGTGAGATATTTGGTATTTTGTGTCTTCAAGGTTTAGCCCATTTAATCTAAGTTTACAAGTTGTTTATAACATGAAAGTCCTTTAAAATTTTAATTTTAATAGATGAATAATAATTGTACATCTTCATGAGGTACATAGTGATGTTTCTATGCATATAATATATAGTGATCAGATCAGGTAATTAGCATATCTATTGTTTCAAACATTTAGCATTTCTTTGTGTTGAGAACTTTCAATATCCTCCTTCCAGCTCTTTGAAACTAGATACATTGTCAACTATAGTCATCCTACAGTGATATAGAACACTAGAACTTATTCCTCCAAAATAGCTGTAATTTTACCTCTTTTAACAAATCTGTCTCTATCCCACCCTTCCTCCTACCCTTCCTATCCTCTAGTATCCTGTGTCCTACTTTTCACTTCTCTAAGATCAAGTTTTTTAAGCTTCCACATATGAGCAAGAATGTGTGGTGTTTAACTTTCTGTCCCTGGCTTATTTCACTTAAGATAGTATCTTCCAGTTCCATTCATGTTGCCATGAATGACAAGATTTCACTCTTTATTATGGCTGGATAGTATTCCATAGTGTGTATACACCACATTTTCTTTATCCATTCATCTGTTGTTGGACACCTAGTTTGATTCTGTATCTTGACTATTGTGAATAGTGCTGCAATAAACATGAGGTTCAGATATCTCTTTGATATCATGATTTCCTTTCCTTTGGATAAATTCTCAGTAGTGAGATTCCTGGATCATATAGTAGTTCTATTTGTAGTTGTTTTGGGAGCCTCCATACTGTTCTCCATAGTTGCTGTGGTAGTTTACATTCTCACCAGCAATGTATAAGAGTTTTCTTTTCTCTGCATCCTTGTCAGCTTTTGTTATTTTTTGTCTTTTTGATAATAACCATCCTAACTGGGGTGAGATGACAGCTCATTGTAGTTTTGATTTGCGTTTCCCTGATGATTAGTGATGTCGAGCATTTTTTCATATGTTTGTTCACCATTCGTATGTCTTCTTTAGATAAATGTCTGTTCAGATCACTTGCCAACTTTTAAATTGAATTGTTTGCTGTTTTGCTGTTGAGATGTTTGAGTTCCTTATATATTCTGGATACTGTTGGATGAAGACTCAACAAATATTTTAGTCTCATTCTGTAGGTTGTCTTTTCACTCTGTTGATGCGGTACAGAAGCTTTTCAGTTTTATACAATCCCATTTGCTTATTTTTGCTTTCATTGCCTGTGCCTTTGAGGTCTTATGTATAAAATATTTCCCAGACCAATGTTCTGAAGTGATTCCCTTATGTTTTCTTCTGTAGTTTTATCATTTTCTGTCTTACATTTAGCTCTTTCATTCATTTTGAGTTGATTTTTATATAAAATGAGAGGTAGGACTCTAGTTTCATTCTTTTGCATATGGATATTCAGTTTTCCCAGCACCATTTATTGAAAAGGTTGTTTTTATCCCTAACAAGTGTTGTTGAAAACTTAGTCGAAAATCCGTTGGCTATAGATATGTAGATTATTTCCTGGGTTCTCTATTCTGTTTCATTGGTCTCTGTGTCTGTTTTTATGCCAGTATCATGCTATTTTTTCTTACTACAGCTTTGTGATGTATTTTGACATCTTGTAGTGTAATAACTTCAGCTTTGCTCTTTTTAATCAGGATTGCTTTGGTTATTGGGCATGGGGTGGTGGTCTTTTGTGGTTCTGTACAAATTTTAGAATTTCTTTTCTATTTCTGTAAAGAACTTCATTGATATTTTGACAGGGATTGCATTAATCTGTAGATTGCTTTGGGTAGTATTGTCATTTTAACAATATTAATTTTTCCAATCCATGAGCATGGGATATCTTTCCATTTGTATGTATGTTCTTCAATTTATTTCATCAGAGTTTTGTGGTTTTCCTTGCAGAAGTTTCTCACCTTCCTGGTTAAATTTATTCCTGGAAATTTTATTTCATTTTTATAGTTATTGTAAATGGGATTGCCTTCTTGATTTTTTTAGCTAGTTTTGTTTTTGGGTTTAGAAATGCTACTGGTATTTGCTTATTAATTTTGTATCCTGCAACTTTACTGAATTTGTTTATCAATTCTAAGCATTTTTGTAGTCTTTACGTTTCTCTATATAAAATATTATGTCATCTGCAAACAGGGAAAATTTGACTTCCTCCTTTCCAGTTTGGATGCCCTTTATTTCTTTTTGTTGCCTAATTGCTCTAGTTAGGACTTCCAATACTATGTTGCATGAAAGTGGTGAGAGGACATCCTTGTTTTGTTCCAGTTCTTAGAGGAAAAACGTTCAGCTTTTCCTTGTTTAGTAAAATGTTAGCTATGGGTTTGTCCTATATGGACTTTATTATATTGAGATACTTTCCTTCTATACCTAATTTATTAAGAGTTTTTATTGTGAAGGGATGTTGAATTTTATCAAAAGTTTCTCTGCATCTGTTGAGGTGATCATACGGCTTCTGTCCATTCTATTAATGTGATGTATGACATTTAATCATATGTTGAACCATCTTTGCATTTCTGGGATAAATGCCACTTGATTATGGTGTATTCTCTTTTTGATGTGTTGTTGGATTTGGTATGCTAGTATTTTGTTGAGAACTTTTGCCTCTGTGCTCATCAGGGATATTGGCCTTTAATTTTCTTTTCCCTGTTGTGTCCTTATCTGGTTTTGATATCAGGATTATACTGGCCTTGTAGAATGAGTTAGGAAGAATTTCCTCTGCTTCAATTTTTTTGGAATAGGTTGAGAAGAGTTAATATAGAGACAAGTTTATAACAATAAGTGCCTACATCAAAAAACTAGAAAGGTTTCCAATAAACAACATAATGTTGTACCTCGAGGAACCAGAAAAACAAGAATGAACCGAACCAAAAATTAGTAGAAGGAAATAAATAATAAAGATCAGAGCAGAAATAAACAAAAATGAGATTAAAAAATACCAAAGATCAAGGAAACAAAAAGCTGATAAACAAAACTGACAAACTATTAACTGGACTAAGAAAAAAGAGACGACGCAAATAAAATCGGAAATGAAAAAGGAGACGTCACAATGGATAACACAGAAATACAAAGGATCACTAGTGACTACTTACGAACGACTATATGCCAATAAATTTAAAAACCTAGAGGAAATGGGTAAATTCCTGGACACAAACATCTACCAAGATTGAACCAAGAAGAATTAGAAAACCTGAACGGATCAATAATAAGTAATGAGGTTGAATCAGTAATAAAAAGTGTTCTAACAAAGAAAAACCCAGGAGCAGATGGCCTTACTACTGAATTATACTGAACATTTAAAGAAGAATTAGTAACAATTCTTCTCAAACTAAACTATCAAATTTCCGATAGAGTTGTTTGTAGTATTTCTTTATTGCATTTTTAATGTCCATGCACCATAAGATTTTAATTTTATTTAAACCTATATGGATAGTTTGTAACTTCCTTTTGCTGTATTGCTATATTCTAGATAATTTTTCTCGTCAATTATTTTCTTTTTCATTATTTCTCAAGGATACATATATATGTGGTAAGAGTGCTTAGATTTTGGAAGTCAGTCTTCACCTTTCTGCTGTCAGGAAAGTTCTGGAGAGAATGTGAGGAAGTGCCAGTGTGAGAAGCTTCCCATATTGCTGGGGGAACTTTTGGAGATGAACACAGTTGGATACCAATACAGCAGGATCCAGAAACACCAGTACAATCCAAGTAAATTTCTTCAGTGATATGAGAATCTTAGAGTTAGGAAGATAATTGTCACTCATGGAGGCAACAAGGACTGAAGTGGCCCTGAGACAGGACAAGTCAATAGACCAACCTTGAACCTCATTCTGAGTTTTCCCTTCCCCATTCATAGAAGTTAAACCAGGAGAGTTCACACCAAAGAGAGGAATAGGACCATCTCTTCTGAGCAACATGGATTTAGTTTCTTACGATCTCTATCAGAGCCTTAGGCCCAATATCTGTGGATCTCTATCAGAGCCTTCTCCTATGAGAAGAAGAAAATTTTCCTCTTCTACTGTCTTCACTCTTCAGGGAATAAGCAGCTGGGAGTTTTGGCCTGAGTCTTTGAGCTTGAATGTCTCCAACTTTTCCCTGTTGTGAAGATTCTTGTGATGCACATCCATGTGGGTACACCTTTCTGAATTTGTTCTATTTCCTCAGGATACATTTCTAGAAGTACAATTACAGTTCAGTGTGTGCACATTTTAATTATGCTTGATACATGTTGTCAGGCAAGTTTCTTGCTCATGAGGGCAATTATAATGATTAATCACATATCTGATTCTTTTGTCAAATGACTTGCTCTAGTTGGCCAAGAATATGTTTCTTAACTGGACAATTAGGCTGAGCCCTGGCATAAGGGGAAAAGTGATCCTGGAAACCAAGGCAGAGGGAATGGGATGCTAGTACCTGGTATGGACAGTTAAAACAGAGTGGATAATACTGGTGAACCAGATGCCTCCCACTCCATTTGCCAAAAGTCTAGATGGAATTTAATCTAGAAACACACTCCAAATGTCACGATACTAAGCTGAAGTTTGATGACCCTCTCTAAAGGAGGTGAGTTATGTATATAAAGAATGGATTATCTTTTACAAATAAATATTCATTTATATGATAAAAAAGTTTAAGCCCAAACTTGGGTCCCAAAGCAAGGCAAAGTAAAAGAATACATTGTATTCTAAATCTGCTTTATTTAGCGATTGCAAAGAGCGAAGAGCACAGAAATTATCACAGAGATACAGGCTTTGTACATCATAGGACTAGTCACTTGTGCTTTCATGGATACTGCAGGGGTGTGGGTTCACAAACTTGCAAGGAAGAAAGTTTGGGAGCCAGTGAAAAGTAAGTGGAAGTTGTTCTGAAATAAGCCCCAGGCAATTTTTTGCAATGAAAAGGATCAGATATCATTTTCTTATCATGCTCAGCCTCAGAGATAGAACACTGGAGGCAAGAAATTAATAATTTAGTAACAAAGTGAACCTCCAGTGGTGATTACATCATGATGTAAAATCAGAGGTTGATCTGATGGTGAGCAATGGGTGCTCAGATGGGGCTGGTATAGACAAAGAGAAGAAGTGAGGGCACTAAGCATCCATCCCCAGCTCTACCTGGGAGAGCAGGGGAGACTGGAGGCCAGGAGAGGACAGGCAGCCTGAGGAGAGGGCTCTGCAGCCAGAGAGGGGCCTGAGGACTGTGGGACCGAGAGCTGGTGGCAGCAATTCAGTGCTTGTAGCTCTTCCTGCTGGAGGAGGAGGTGGTGGTGTACTTGATGGTGGAACTGCCGCCTCCAACAGAGCTGAGGCCACCCCCAATGGCTCTGCCGCTGCTGGAACTGAAGCCACCTCCAACGCCAAGACCACTGCCATAGGAGTAGCTGCTTCCTCCACCCAGGCCTAAGCCACTGCCGACACCGCTGGCACCGCCATAGCCACTGGAGACGGTGGATTGTACCACAGCTGTGGTGGGGAGGGGACAAGGACACAAGAAGCCACGGTGAGCTCATCCTGTCAGCCTGAGCCCAGTCAGAAGAGTGCAAGGGCAGGGGAGGAAGGCAAGCAAAGGTACTTACAGATGTTGACTTGTCCAACGCCTTCGCCATTCAGCCTGTGGAGAGGAACACAGGAAGGGTGAGACCTCAGAGAGCCCTTCCTTCCCTGGACCAGTGTGGGCAGCCTCGGTGTGTGGAAGAGTCCATGGGAAACAGCTCTTTTAGTTTTCTCTCAAGAAAAGCAATTATGGCCATGGGCAGTGTACCCTAGAGTTGTGCTCAGTGCCAGGCACCTTGAAGATGGACTCAACTGTTGGAGGAAGCCGCGTCAGTTACCCACCTGCACTCCTCGCCCTCCAACAGCTTGCGGTAGGTGGCGATCTCCACGTCCAGGGCCAGTTTCACGTTCATCAACTCCTGGTACTCCTTCAGCAGCCGGGCCAGGTCCTGCTTGGCCTTCTGCAGGGCGTCCTCCAGCCCTTCCAGCTTGTTCTTGGCATCCTTGAGTGCCATCTCCCCACGCTGCTCAGCATCAGCAATGGCGGCCTGCAGGCTGGCACACTAGGAGGGGAAAGGAAGAGAAGGAACTTATTGCCTGCTCCTCCAGAGGAGGCTCGCTCTTGTTTAGTGAACAAGGGTCCTGTAACCCAAAATTGACAGAGAATGAGCTCTGACTCTTCCTGTCCAGTGTTTTTCCATTTGGCAATATTTGTCTAGTCTGGGAGTCAAGTGACAAAGTCCTATGCCCCTTGTATTAAGACCTGCATGAGAATGTGCTCTGTATCTGATGGGAGACAATACAATGGACCCAAAAACAAGGCATATGGAAGATGAAGGCCCAGATTTGTATTGAGTGCTGTTTTCAAAACTACAACAAGAAAAATTTTGAGGAATACATCTGGATGCCACATTAAAATATACAAAATTATGACTATCTGTTGGTGAGGTGATGACTTTTTACTTGACTGTTGAGACCTGGCCTTGCTCATGCCTCAGAGGCTCATCCTCTTGGGTGGGATTCACTTCTCTATTGAGTTCTCAATGAGGGCAAGAACTATATATGTTCCTCACCCTAGTGTTGGTTTACTTTTCAAGAATTATCTCAAATAATAGCTAATGACTGCCTAATGGGTCTAGCAAAAAATGATCCTTCTCTACTTCATTGCCCCTCACCATACCTGCTTCTTGACGTGGTCGATCTCAGATCTTAGCCTCTGGATCATGCGGTTGATCTCAGCAATCTCCTGCTTGGTGTTGCGCAGGTCGTCCCCATGTCTGCCCACTGTGACCTGCAGCTCCTCGTACTGCAGTCCAGAGGTGGAGAGAGAGACAGTGTCTACGAGTTCTTACCTGGCTAGCGATGACTTTCACTTGTGTATCATGCATGTCATGAAGTGGACCTAATGGCTTCTCCCTAAGGAACTTGAGGAGAAGCTGATGTTATGTGGTGGGTGGATACTAAACACTAGAGTCACAGACCACCCTCATTGTGGCACCACTATCTGCCTAATTTCCTTAGGGAGTACAAATGTTCTGTACCATTTTCTAAAAGTCAGCAATCAGGATGAAGCTAAGTGCAGAGATGACTATGTCATTGTCTATGGTAGTTTTCCTCCTGCGTTGGGTTCTTTTTCCTTCTTGACTTGGGCGTAAGTTCCGCAAATGTCTACTCTAATAGTGCAGGTGCACATCCAGTGAGAGGACCCTGGCTTCCTGTAAGGGGATGTCCCCAATGAAGTCTGCAGTTCTCTGGCATTCAGAGCTGGACACAGGGATTCCTCAGTGGCTACCCACACCCTGCTCACCTTGCTCTGGTACCAGGACTCGGCCTCAGCCCGGCTCCTCTGAGCAATCTCCTCGTATTGGGCCTTGACCTCAGCGATGATGCTGTCCAGGTCCAGGTTGCGGTTGTTGTCCATGGACAGCACCACGGATGTGTCTGAGATGTGGGTCTGCATCTGGGACAGCTCCTGCAGAACAGAAGGTCATAAGATCAACTTCACTTCTGACATTTACAGAGATACCCAGCCCTATACATCTTCTCCCCTTTGCAGACCCCATCAGAGTAAACAGAAGGACGGTGGAGATGCTTACTGCTTCATACAAGGCTCTCAGGAAGTTGATCTCGTCTGTGAGAGTGTCTGCCTTGGCTTGCAGTTCAACCTTGTTCATGTAGGCAGCATCCACGTCCTGGGGAAAGAGCCAACAACCTGGAGCTACCTGAGCGCAGCTTCCCAATCTACCCATCTTCTAGTCCCCCTACCGATTCTCCTCTCCCAGGTGAGTGACGACACAGAGCCACTTCTGTCCTTCTAAGTGAATTTGAACCTCACGGCTTCATCTGCTCACCTTCTTCAGAGTCACAAATTCATTCTCTGCTGCTGTGCGCTTGTTGATTTCATCCTCATATCTGCAGGAAGGAAGGCATGGGATATATTAGAGACAGTGGGTAGGATGAAACAGAAAAGCAGCCTGGGATCCAACATTTTCCCAAATGGAATATATTCTAATTGAGCTTTCCTGCCACAGAGCACCTAAGGGACGATTTTTGCTTCTCCTAAATTTGTCACTTCTTTAATTTCGCCATCCTCTCATAACCATTTGTGGTTCTTGCAGGTTTGCTCCTAGGGACTAATTTGTGCTTTCCGTTTCCATGGACATGGGTTGTTAGGAATCCCACCCCCATCTGGCCCTGGTCACCCAATAGTCTTGAAGTGTGTGCTGCAGGAAATTGAGTCCATTTCTCCTATTTAACTCACTTGTTCTTGAAGTCCTCCACCAGGTCCTGCATGCCTCTGAGCTCCGAGTCCAGGCGGCCCCGTTCCCCGACGATGCTGTCCAGCTGCCTCCTGAGGTTGTTGATGTACTGCTCGAACAACGGCTCCAGGTTCTGCCTCACGGTCTTGGTGCCCTGCTCCTGCAGCAGGGTCCACTTGGTGTCCAGAACCTTGTTCTGCTGCTCCAGGAACCGCACCTGGAGGGGAAGCAAGATGGTCATTTTCCAGGCCAAGGAAGGAAGAAAAAGTGTCTGATATCTGGTTTCCTGGCAGGTAAGAAAAAGTGTCTGATATCTGGTTTCCTGGCAGGTTCAGAGGCCCCCATGGTGCTGGGCTACCAAGAAAAGCAGAGGCCTGCGGGCTTGGTTGCTTCTCTAATCTCTTGCACCCCACCAATCTCACTAGGAGAAATTGTCCCACTGACCATTGAGATGTGTGTTCTCACGCCTGTAAGCTATTGTTGCATCAGTGAGTTTCAACATTTCTCTTCGTTTTTTCCAAGCACAGTCACAAATCTAGTTTAAAAATATTATTTACCTGATGTGTTGTACAGTTTTTATTACTGATAGGACCTCAGTTAAGAGGGATATTAGATGTTGCCTATGATTAGATTCCAGTCTACTTTCCCATTTAGTGTGGTTTCTCCCAAATATTCTGATGTTATGATCATTCTGTTTTTAAAATTACACTAGCATTTCCTTCTGTGTTTGGTAGTTGTTTCATGCCCATTTTTTCTTAATCCAGCCAGATTATCTTTTTCTTTTCTTTCTAAATTTTTTTCCTCTTACTCAGAACGCATAGTGTAATTTACCAGCCCATATACTCCTGGCATTTGCTTTGTAATCTCTTAGACACTTTAGAGGGAAGAGTTAACCTACTCCACTCTCTGATGGCCTCTATCTGTGCTTCAGGTTGTGAAAAGTTGTGGCTTTCCTAGGCAGGAGTGAGAACCAATCCGAGATCCCGTGTGGAGCATGCCCGGCCCCTGCTGCGCCGCCAGGCGGCCGAAGCCACGTGCACTCTCTGCAGAGCTGGGTTGAATCCCCTTCTCCCTCCTCCGAGGTCTCCTGGCAGGAATGTTGTTCCTCTGGTCTGGGGATTCTGAAGTGCTCCCATGGAGGGCATGACCTGGCTCACCTTGTTTATGAAGGGAGGCGACCGGGAAAGAGTTGAGGGCCCGGATTGCCTGCTTGCCTGGGCACTGGATGGCGGGGCCGATTTGCAGGTTGAGGGGAGCCGTAGGAGACTCTGCTGACGGTGACCTCTGGATGCCTCCAGGGGGCACACAGGGAAGCTAGGCCCTGTGCCACTCAGCAAGGCCGGCTCCACCACCCAGGCCAAAGCCAATGTCGGGCTCCACCACCCAAACCAAATCCACTCGGCGCCACCAAAGCCAGCTGCCTCCGCCTGCTGCCATAGCCGCCACTGATGGCACAGCTGCCCCCTCCAATGGAGATCCTCTTGGAGCCCCCCAGGCCATACAGGCTGCGGCCAGCCAGCTCCTCCACATGCGCCACCCAGGCCACCACTGCCCCTGGAGCTGGGACACGGAGGACGCTCGCTGAAGCCAGAGCGGCTGACCCCAGGAAGCCTGGCTGAGCCGGCACTCAGCTCCTGCGGCTGCTGCTGTGGCTCCTGATGGTGGTGGATGTGCTGGCCATGGTTCCAGGAGATGAGAGGGCTGTGGAGAGCGTGAGAGGCTGGAGGTGAGAGGGAAGAGAAGCAGGACTAAGAATCAGGTCTTCGGGCAGCAGCTTATATATGGAGAGCATGGAAGGGCCCAGTCCTGGAAGGTGAGCTTGCAGGTTGGGAAGGGCTGGGCTTACAAATAGTGAGATCACACCTGGATTAGAGGTTATGAAATGCCGAGATTGCATTTTTCACCTCCTTTAGTCAGGGAAAATGTTCCTGCCTCCAGCTTTGACTCGAGATCTCAGCACAATAAGAACATTCTCAGTTCATGAAGTTGGGAGTTAGTCACTGTCTCTAGCAAAGGTTCTGCGTATAGGCTCTTTATCAAATATTATTCGAGAGCTTCTCCTTTCCCAGTCTGACTTTCTTCCAGCAGAGATATTGGAGATCACACGCACTGTATTGCAAATTCCTTAACAGAAATATTACCGTTTTCCTTGTAATTATTTTTCCTTCTATGTGGAATTTCAAACATGTAGAGTAGCAGAACAACACAATGGGCCTGTATATACCTATTACCTGTTTCCATGATGATTACCTTATGGCGAGTCTTATTTCTTGTATATTTCCACCCAATTCCCTTATCAATGTTAAATTTTTTTAAATCCCCAAAATATTTGGGATTTAATTCAATATTAATGCAATATTAATCTCTAAATGATAGGTCTTTTAAAAATATAACTGAAATATTATTTTGTATTTTAAAAGTTTATGTATTTATTAAGTCTTCGCCCTCAAGGAGTTGACTCTAATAAAGATGACAAATAACACAAAGGAGAGAAGATATCGCCTCTAGTGGCATCACTGAGCTAGAAAGAAAGTACGCTTGACTAGGAAGAAAAGATAATAAGAGAGGGGATGTAGAGGGGACAGTGGGGAAGGGTTTTGTTTTTTTTTTTTTTTTTTGAGACAGAGTCTTGCTGTGTCACCCAGGCTGGAGGAAAGGAGTTCGGCTCACTGCAACCTTCACCTCCTGGGTTCAAGAGATTCTCTCACCTCAGCCTCCTGGGTAGCTGAGATTACAGGCGCCGCCACCAAGCACAGCTAATTTTTTGTGGCTTTAGTAGAGATGGGGTTTTGCCATGTTGGCCAGGCTGGTCTCGAACTCCTGATCTCAAGTGATCCACCCGCCTCAGCTTCCAAAAGTGCTGGGATTACAGGCACGAGCCACCACACCCAGCCAATTTATGTATCTATTAACATCAATATGTCTATTCAATTCTCCAATGTCCTTGTTTATTTATTGCCTTATGGTTTACAATTCATTTGTTGATGAGACCAGATTAATTGTCCTGAGTAGTATCACCTTTGGGTTTCTTCATTGCTTACTCACAGTGTTTCATTTAAGATGCTACTGTGTCCTCTATATTTCCTTAAACTGATCATTAAAACTTCAGTTTAATAAGACCTCATACATTTAGACTTTCCAGATGTGGATGTATTAGAATGTTTATTTAAATATTGAATAAGCCGGGTGCCGTGGGCTTCACATCTGTTAATCCCAGCACCTTCAGAGGCTGAGGCGGGTGAATCACCTGAAGTCAGGAGTTTGAGACTAGCCTGGCCAACATGGTGAAACCCATCTCCACTAAAAATACAAAAATTAGCCAGTGTGGTGGTAAGTCTGTAATCCCAGCTACTACTCTGGAGGCTGAGGTGGGAGGATCCCTGAACCTGGGAGGCAGAGGCCAGGTGAGCTGAGATTGCACCAGACCCAGCCTGGGTGACAGAGTTGAGATTCTGTCTCAAAAAAATAAATAAATTAACATGAAAAAAAAATACTGAAAATTATTTACACACTTATTTCTATGTTTATAAATTGAATATGTAATAAATGTTTAAGGAGAAAATACATACTAAAGCCATCCTCAGGCACACAAACATTTTATGTGGGAAGTAAGGCACTGTTACTAAGCCCCTGTGTATCCTTCTGGTAACTTTGCTTGGATACGTTTCTGAGCTTTTTCTGGGGAATATGTGAGATGTGTGTATTTGTGTGTGTGTGTGTGTGTGTGTGTATGAGAGAGAAGACAGAGGGTGAGAGAGGAGGGGGAGTTTTATATGTAAAGAGTAAGCCCCCTTGAAAGGTACATATAGGTGAATTATAGCTAAAGAGAGAGAGAGGTTTATTCGTGTTTTATATATTAAATTACATACATATATAAAATATTTTAAAATTATATACATATTAAACAATACATGTATTATCTTCCACTGGTTTGTGTTGTCTCTACTTTGCCTTCCAAATCTATTTTCTTCTCTTTTATTCTTTTTACCACTCTGTGATCCCTTTTTCTGTTTGCTTTTCCATCTTTTCCTATGTATGTCAATTACTGTGCCTTCAGCAATATCTTTCTTCCTCTTTGCGCTGCTTTCAGTTGGTCTTCGTTTTCTCATTGTTCTTTATTGTTTCAACATATTGTCCCTCAGTTCTCTTATTTTATGGAGGTGATCATTTCATTGAAATTTTTTTGCTAATATTTTATCGTGCCTTTTTCTGTTGAACATTCTTTTTTAAGTGCCTTTTTTTTGTCTCACTCCTTCAGTTTTAAATGCATAGATCTTTTGTGGATCCTGAATGGTTCCTTTCCAACTGGTGCTCATTTTAATGAGATGAGCATCCTCTGGGCTGCCATTTCATGACATGCAGCCAGGGAGAAGGACCAGGGGGATCATTCAGGTGGGTTGGAGTTCTCATTATGACACAAGGCTGTGTGAATAATTCTTTTAAACATCAATTCAACCAAGCCAACAAAGATCACTGTAGAGTGGCTCACAATCACAGTGCCTCTGCTTTTTTGCCTTACCAACAAAAATGATGCCAATGGGCAACAAAATACTGAATAACATGACTGGGCCACAGGGTGCCCAGATATTTGCTCAAACACTATTCTGGATATGTCCCTTTGGATGCTTCTGTATGAGATTAAAATCTGAATCTGAATTGTTAGACTGGGTAAAGCAGGTTACCCTTCCTAACGTGGGCAGGCCTGTTTAGTCAGTTGAAGGCATAAATATAATACAAAGACTGAGTAAGTGGATAATCTTCTTACAAGACTATCTTCGAACTGGAACATTGATTTTGTTTTTATACTGCCCTCAGACTTTATCTAAAAATATCTCCCTGCTCTGGGTCTCAAGCCTGTAGTGTTTTGGATTGAAGCTACACCATCAACCCTTTGGAATCCTTGAGACTGAGTCTGGAACTGGAACATCGCCTCCAACTTGCCATCCTGGGACTTGTTAACCTCCAAGACAACAACAGCCGATTGTTAATAACAATAATTCTTTCTCTCTTATCTATTAATCAATCATCTATCTATCTATATATATGTGTGTGTGTGTATAACCAAAAGGGATATCTCTTTATATATATATATATATATGTGTGTGTATAATGAATCATTGAAATTTCAATACACAGAGACTTTGCACAAACACTGCCAAGAGAATGAGAAGTCAAGCCACAGAGTAAGAATATGGGCAAAAGACATATCTGATAAAGTACTGTTACGAAACTATACAAAGAACTCTTAAAATTAATGAGAAAACCTGGTTGTAAAATGGGCCAGAGTGTTTAACAGATACATAACCAAAGCAGATATACAAATGACAAATAAGCATATGAAAGATGTTCAACATTATATGTCATCAGGTAAGTTAAAATTTAAAAAAACAATGAGATAACACTACACGCCTATTCGAATGTTTAAAATCCAGAACACTGAGAATACCACATACTGGTGAAGATGTGGAACAACAGAACTCTCATTCATTGTTTGTGAAATACAAAATGGCATGGCCACTTTGGGAGAGAGTTTGTTTCCCAAAACTAAACCTACTTTTACCATACAATTCATCTACTGAACTCATTAGTATTTACCCAAATGAATTGAAAGTATATGCCCATTTAGAAACCTGCACACAGATTGATGTGGTTTGGATTTGTGTCCCCACCCAAGTCTTATGTTGAATGGTAATCCCCAATGTTGGAGGAGGAACCTGGTGGTGATTAGATGATGGTAGCAAACTTCCCCCTTTCTGTTCTCATGATAGAGAGTGAGTTCTCATGAGGTCTGGTTGTATAAAAGTGTGTAACAGCTCCTTCTCTCTCTCTCTTCCTTCTGCTGCAGTCACTGCAAGACATGCCAGCTCCTCCTTCACCTTCTACCATGATTGTAAGTTTCCTGGAGGCCTTCCAGAAGCAGAGGCCTATAGAGCCTGCATAATTGTGAGCCACCAACCTTTTTCTTTATAAATTATCCAGTTTGTGTATTTCTTATAGCAGTGAGAGAAAGGACTAACACAGATATTTATAGTAGCTTTATTACCAATTGTCCTAAAACTAGTGTGAAAGGAAAATAAATCTTGGGATCCTCAAATCACTAAGCTAAAGGAAAAGTCAAACTGGGAACTGCTTAGGAACCCGTCTCCCATTCCCATCCGCAAACCAATCCGCACCACCCCCCATGACAAGACCCATATCTGATTGCTTCCTTTGGAAAGACCAATGAGAAACTCAAAAAAGAAAAACTGTTTGTCTTGCTACCTATAACCTGGAAGCTCTCCTCCCAGCTTAAAGTTGTCCTATATTTCAGACTGAACCAATGTACTGCCTTATATTGATTGATGTCTGTGTCTCCCTAAAAATGTATAAAACCAAGCTGTTCCCAACCATCTTGGGCACATGTTGTCAGGACTCCTGAGGCTCTGTCATGTGCACATCCTTAACTTTAAAAAAACTTCTAGGTTGACTGAGACCCGTCTCAGATATTTGGGGTTCACACTAGAAGCAATTAATATGTCTTTAGCAGGCTTGGACAGTAAACAAACTGTGGCCTATCAAGACAATGGAATATTCAATGCTAAAAAGAAATGAGTTGTCAAGCCATGAAAAGACATGTAGGAAATTTAGATGCATGTTAACAGAGTGAAAAAAGCCTATCTGAAAGGCTAATGTATTGTATGA